TTTACCATTCCCATTGGCATGTCATCCTGAGGAATGGTTGTTGGAAGGTCAGACTCATGACAATTCTATGGAGATCACACACAGTTTCAGAACAGGGCCTTAGGACCAACATGGTGTATGAACCCATATTTACACCACTTCCAAGGAGTGCAAATGTCAGATCGATTCCTTTTATTTTTCTCCACCTCACTTACCACTTAGGGTATATTTTGTAGTCTTCATCTCTGTTTCCTAAATGTCAGCTGTTCAAGAACAGGAAATTGCCAGACCTTGTTTCCTGCTTTCGCCCCAGTGCCAGAACAGGGTGTGATGAGCCGCCCACAGGTATTTGGTACGTGGATGAGAAAATGAATGAAGTACCTGCTCCAGGAGAGCATGGAGTCAGCCCATCTGAACCACACGGATCAAAGGCGGGCAAGGAAGGTTCCCTGAGAGGAAATCAAGATGCAGTCCTGGAGGAGGGGGAAGTGGATGTGGTGCAGACAACATCTGGAGACACCAAAGTCCTTGCCCAACAGGTGGGGCAAAGCCAGAACCCAGGGCTCCCTCTAACACAAGCTGAGAAGCAGGGTGTCCACAGACCCTGTGCAGCTTCAGGGCTCTAGGCCAGACACACACAGGGTAAGTGCAAGGGCAGGAAAGCTCACTCTTCCCTCCACTAGAACAAAGTGCGTTTTCTTGAGTTTGGGTCTTACTGTCACCCAGGCTGGAGTGCAGTGGCATGGTCATGGCTCACAGCATCCTCGATCTCCTGGGCTTAGGTGATCTTTCTTCCTCAGCCTCTCGAGGAGCTGAGACTATAGGCACATGCCACCATCCCCAGCTAACTTTCTAATTTAATTTAATTTTTGTAGAGATGAGGTGTCACTGTATTGCCCAGGGTGGCCTTGAACTCCTGGGCTCAAGCAGTTCTCCCGCCTTGGTCTCTCCGAGTGCTAGGATTACAGGTGTGAGCCACTGTACCCAGCCAAATTGCAACTTGAAAACCAAACACAAACCATTCCGTAAAGCAGGCCATGTTTCTAGTACAATAGGTACTGAGATTGAAAGAGGTACAGGCCAGAAAAGTCTGCAAAACAGTCCTCAGGGCCGGGCTGTGGTCTCAAGTGGCGGAAGTGGGGAGGGAGGAAGGGGCCACAGGGGAGGAAGAAGGGAGAACTATTGGGAGGAGAGATGAGGGAGGGAAGGAGTAGGGGAACCAGGGAGAAGGAAGGGGAGCCGCGAGGGAGACACAACAGCCCAACGAACTGCCATCCACACCATTGGGCCAGATTCTGTGGGGCCCTGGGCCATGGCCCCAAACAAGAAGGGCCTTAGACCCTTCCCTTTGTTCTGCAAAGATTTGTCCTAATGCTTGTGTTCTTGATAACAGCCTGGGTTCTCCAGTTCACTCTAAGATGACACTTGGGTAATAGCTTTTCGGCTTAAGCCTAGTTTTGTTCCCTGACGTGGATACAGTAATTTCATTTGGTGGTTCTCCCACTGCTCATGGCTGAGACTAAAAAAGGAGAGCCAGAGCATCACTTGTCAGAAAATGAAATGGGACTTGCTTGGGTCATAGCAAACCGTGGGCTGCAGCAGAAGTGGTGAATCCCCCCCGTCCCAGGATTTCTCCCTCAAAGTGTTGAGAGACTCACTGAGTCAAGGAAGAATGCATTTGCTCTTGTACAAACCCAGGGTGTTGTAGCTGTGGAATCTGAATGATTTGTGCCAGACTTCCTAGGAACTGTGTTGCTGATACGTGAATGGGAATATTGTAAACCCAGTTCTATTGGTCCTGGGCTTTCTATTCAGTGGCCATAGCCCACTTGAACCTGGACTTCCAGGGCAATGTGGACTGGGCCTCACAGATCACGGGACTGTGATCGTTTGCAGCTGCAAGTTTCTTTTTGTGAGTCATGGTCTCACTGTGTCACCCAGGCTGGAGTGCAATGGCACAGTCATGGCTCACCACAGCCTCGACTTCCTGAGCTTGGGTGATTTTTCTGCCTCAGCCTCCGCAGTACCTGGGAGTACAAGCTGGGTGTGGTGTGAACCACCACACCCAGCTAATTTTTAAATATTTTATAGAGACAAGGAGGTCAAGGTCTTGCTGTGTTACCTGGACTGGTCTCGAACTTGTGAACATGAGCACTCCTCCCACCTCAGCCTCTCAAAGTGCTGGAATTACAGGTAGGAGCCACTGTTTCCAGAGAACTCAAGAAATACTAAACCCTCATGGGACAGAGAGGATTGAACTTTCTGACAACAGTCAGCTTTTTACAGGACTAGTCAATTTGTTTAATACTTGACCGTGATGTCCCTGGGAACCTGCAGTTATCAGAAATTCTGTGAGGAAGTCAGTCATTCCCATAGGAAGACAGAGGTGAAGAGACAGATGGTTTCTATCTGGTCACTGCAGTTATTTGTCCTGCAAGAAACTCTAAAATAAAATTTCCCATCCAAAACAGCTATGAAACTAAACATGACTGAGCAAATCAATCTACCTTGGACTGGCCCAGGCTTCTTGGGTCACTTTGAATGGGTGGCCACCCGTCCTAGCCCTGTGGGCTTTGAAGTTTGGAAGCCCCCACCCTGAAACCAAACTCCCTACGGGATTTCGAGCCTGCATTTCCCTTCTCTTGGCATCTAGACCAGAACTGCTACTCTCCTTGTGAGAGTGTTTGCATGGTGTTCCACCCCCCCGTTTTTATCACCACTGAATCATGGAAGTATAATCTCTCACAAAGAGTGTGAAAGTAGTGCTTGCTTTGTGAATTGATCCAAAAAGCTTTTTTAGTAATGAATTTAGATTTATTAACAAAAATAATATGACCTATCTCAGTTGTATCTCACTTTATAATCATAGTTCCTGTAACTTTTCTCTTTGCTGTACATCTATATTCACTTTTTATTTTTCTCTTAAAGTCATTACTTCTGACATTAACGATGGCTGGTATTTTCGATTTAGTGAATCTTCTTTACGTCAACGTCCCTTCACCCTCTATACCTATCCCCCCACCTCCACGCACCCCTGTCCCCTCCCCCCCGCCCCCACACGCCACTCCCCCCCATCAGCTCACCCTTTCTCCTTCCCCTCTCCTCTCATTGTCCAAGCTGGGTTCTGTATTGGCAGAGTTTGTGATTGCCCGTCCCCTCCCCTCTCGTTCCAGGTGTTGCAGCCTCACATCTTCACACCAGTGCGCTGAATGCCTTTCATTAGTCCATGGCCCAGATTTCCCATTCGGCTCATCATGGGGTCAGGCTTCACTGGAAGACCTAGTGGATTGCACTGGAAGACCTACGGGCTTGCCCAGGAGGGGCTCGGTGTTCAGAGGCTGTTTGTCTGGAAGAGGCCCATCTGCTCTTCTCTCCTTGTTCGTTTTTCTTCTTCCCACCTCCTCCTTCTTTCCTTGCCATCTTCTCCTCATCGACTTGGCCTCTTCCTTCATGGTCCTCCTCTTTGGTGGTCCAGGCCTCGTTCTGAACTTTCCATCCTTTCTCTCTATTCTCATCCTCGGGCTTTGTTGAGGCTCCTGCTCTAGAGGTCGAGTGGCCCCCTTCGGTGCTCCCTCCGAGCTGCTGTTAGACCTTTCCCTGGATATCCTGAGGTCAGGGGCCACTGTTGGTTGACACTACGTTAAGCCTGGGGGCCAGTATTCCACTGGGCTTGTGTGGCACCCAGGTGCCGGCTGCTCTGGCTGGGCTCTTCCATGGCCCTCGGTCTTGTAAGCCTGAGGAAAGCTGGAGGCAGATGCTGTCGGTCTGCAGCTGGGAACATTGGTGCTTCTTTGTTGGGCAAGGGGATGGGGAGGAGATGGAGGGGTGGGCGAGAGCTACAAGAAAAGAAAGTGAGATCAGAGCAGAGTGGAAGGCAAGCTCCTGTGCCACATCTGCCACCTGACAGAGGGAGCCTGGCAGGTTGGCTGGCACTGCTCACTGCTGGCAGGTGACAAGACCCACGGGGGGGCCCAAAACTGCTGTTTGTCTTTGGGATTTTCAGATTCCTGACATATTTAGTGGCTCTTAGCCCTCAAAAAAGAAGCCTGCAGGTGAGTTAAGCTTTGTGCCCAACTCAGTTTATCTCAGAGCACATTCTCTTCACCTACTTTCTTCTCTATCCCTTTTACTTTTTTTCCTAGGATTAGATGGACCCCGGCACAGCCCACAGTGGGGCAGGACATTCACATTCTAGGATTAGTCTAGGATAATCATCTGCCTAGGCAAAGGGTCTGTATGCATTTCACTAGAGGACTCCCCCGATTTCACTAAACTCAAAGCTGAATATTTAAACCACAAAAAGGTACATTCTAAAGAGGGTAATGCTAGACAGGTGACTGTTTTCCATAAATGCATCATCTGTTATGTCTCTCCTTACAGTTCTACATATATGCTTTTTCCATTTTGTGTCTAGGGATCTTATTTTTTCAGAGACCAGAGAGCCCTGGGAGCTGCTGCCCCTGAGAAGCTAGACCCTGAGCACATCTTTCAAGGCCCAGCTCAGTGTAGCTTGTTTCCTGTGGGAGGAGAACACACACAATGTCTGAGGGAATGTTGGAATGCATCTGCCTCTTTCCTCCCAAAAGCCATCATGGTGACAGTCCCTTTCCCAGAAAGTATGCTCTCGGTGTGTTTCCTGTATTTATGTTTAAAATTTTCATCTTAGATCAAAACCCTGCAGATGTTATTACCAGAATCTTCCTTAAAAAAAAAAAAAAAAAACATTAGTATGCAAGCTGTGACTTTGTGTTACCTAGTACTTGATTCCATGATCAAATGCATTTGGAGAATTTGGATACAAACACTTTTGACCCTGGCAGTGTTCAAAGCCCTCAGTGTGCTAATATGCATGAAGACACTCTAAACCAGGTTGTGGTAGAGCCTGCTCATGCCCACCCAGCCCAGGAGGCAGCTGCAGAAGCACAGAGGATGGGGCTGGCCTTGACCCTGCAGAGCCCCGGCCGGGATTCACACTCACCTGGACATTCTGACCCCCCCAGTTGTTCCCAGGCCCTGGGAACCTAGGGAGCGCGCTGGCGTTCCCGGCTCCAGACCCAGTGGTGTGGATTCTGGGCCTGGATCTGAAAGGGAAATGCAGGGCAGTTAGCACCTTGAGAAGGGGCCCCGCCCTACTCACCCCTGGGGTATGCCCCTTATCTTCCCAGCCTTCCTGGCCGCCCTCCACAACACACCTCTTCACACATCTCCAGGGTGACCCAGGCTCGGTATCCCATTGCTTGAAAGAACTCCATCCTCAGCTTCAGGAAGTCCTTGTAGAGGGCTAGCCAGTGCTCTTTGCCCAGAAGGAACTGGAAGATGCTCTGCTTGGATATGAGGTTGTCCTCCTCCATATCAGAGGCAATGTAGCTGCCACAGGAAGAGGGAGCTCATCTGTTTTTAACCGTGACTGTCAGTCTCAGGGGGGACAGGAAGTCGAGATCACATTGGAGGAACCATGTGGCCGGGGGGTGGAGGGAGTATGTCCAGGACAGAGGGTCTGGGGACGCCTTCTCTGCAAGGTGACCCACTGTACAGGGGTCTCTGGTGTCCTCAACACTGAGCCTGTAGGGCCCGTGCTGTGCCCAGCCCAGGATAAGAATCTGGCTGCCTGTCGGATTCCTAGGGGCTCTTCTCTCAGATAACCCATTTTCCGGACAGCAGTGGGGTTTCTGGCCACCTTCCTTTTCTCGGGGCCTTTTCCTCTCTCCCACAACTATGTAGCCCCTGAAGGTATTGTTGACTCAGTGGTCAAGAAGAACAACCTGTTGGGGCCCACAGGCACAGGGACATGACTGAGATGCCCTGATGGGGGTGATGGAAATGTGGGGTTCTGAGTTTGGGGCTGATTTGAGAGTTGGTCTCCAAAGAGGTGCTCACAGCGCCAGGAAGAAGTGGATCCTATTGTAGAGGTGTCCCGGCAGCCCCACACGGCCGAAGTATTCCACCACCATGGAGAGCAGGTACTGTGCCAGACAGAGGCCCGTGAGGGGAGTGTTCTAGATGGGCCATGGGACCCTCCCCCTCCAAAGGCCACTCGGGCATGGGGGGCCTTGCTGCGGGCCAGTCCCTTGCCAGGTGGAGATGAGGGATGGGAAGGCAGGGAGTTCCCCAGGGGGCAGGGCCAGGGTGGGCAGCGCTTCCTGGGGGCATGAATGTGGGCTCCCCCCACCCAGAGGGAAGCCTTATTTTCTCTGCAGACCTCTTGGTGCCTCATTACTCTTGCGCTGCAGGTACCTTGTCAGAAACTTTAAGAAAAACGTCGGCTGCCAAGAAGCTCTGGATGATGGGATCCTCTGCAAAGAAAAGGAGCAGTGTTGAGGCCTTGGAACCGCCCTTCTGGGAGGCCTGAGTATGTATGTACCTCTGGATATTTCGGAGGGGAGGTGGAAAACCTCAGTCTTCTCTGAGTTTCTCTGTCTCCTGGCAGGGAACCTGGCTGCCTTTCCTCCAAGAAGTTATGAGCTCTCATATCATAACAGCTTCTATTCCTTCCACTCATACACACATTGAATGTCCGCTGTGGGACACAAATTTTGCTCCTGTTATTTAATCCTCAACATGGCCACAACAGGATGTGATAAATTTGTTCACCGCAGAGACCAAAAGCTTGGATGTGGCCTCGGGTCTCTGTGACACCTCAGCCTGTCACTTCGTCATGCTGTGACTGTGCCCAGCTTCCCTGTAGCAGTGATGACTGAGCACCTGGGTTGTGGTGGAGAGCTCATGGTCCCCAGGGTTCCATGGGCACTGCTGCCTCCCTGAAGATGTGACCTGGCCTTCCCTCCTGTCCAGGAGGCTCCTCTGTGAAGAGAGGTGTTCCCTGGAGACCTTCACTGAGCACCCCGTCCAGTGAAGACCTGAGAATGCCAGGTCCCATCTGTCCTTCACCCAGGATGATAACACTTACATGGCAGGAAGGATGAAGGGGGCGTGGTCATGGCCCTCCCCTTCCTGCCTCTTATCCCATCAGACTGGCCCTCAGAAGGGAACTGTTCTCACAGCACTCTCTGTGATGGTGGAAAGTCTCTCTACCTGCACTGTCCTCCATGGCAGCGCCCGGCCCTGTGTGGCTATCAAACACTTGAAACCTGGCCAGTGAAACCAAGGAATGTAATTTTATTTTATTTTCTTGAGTCAGGGTCTCACTCTGCTGCCCAGGCTGGAGTGCAGTGGCACAATCATGGCTCACTGCATCCTTGACCTCCTGGGCTCAGGCAATTCTTCCACCTCAGCCTCCTGAATAGCTGGGACTATAGATGCGTGCCACCATGCCTGGCTAATGCTTTGATTTTTTAAAATAGAGACAGGTTCCTGCTATGTTGCCCAGGCTGGTCTCAAACTCTGGGGCTCAAGTGATCCTCTTTCCTCAGCATGGAAAAGGATTAGAGACATGGGCCCTCACACTTGGCCAAGGAATGGAATTTTTTGTTTTTTTTTTGAGTTGGAGTCTCACTCGGTAGCCCAGACTGGAGTGCAGTGGCTGCTCCCGGCCACGGCAGCCTCGACCTCCTGGGCTCCAGTGATCCTTCCGCCTCAGCCTTCCGAGTAGCCGGAATTACAGGCGCGCTACCATGCCCGGCTGATTTTTTGATTTATTGTAGATATGAGGTCTCGCTGCCCAGGCGGGTCTCGAACCCATGGGCTCAGGCAATCCACTCACCTCAGCCTCCCAAAGGGACGGGATTACAGGCTGAGCCACCAAGCCTGGCTAAGGAATGGAATTTTAACAGTGTATTTAATTCATCAAAAAAATCTATCAGTATGGATACCTACATAATGAACATTTGTATACCTAACCCTGAATTACACCCCACATCTTTAAAATAAAAATAACAGCAAAAAAAATTCAATGTAAGCGGCAACATGTGGCTGGTGGTTGCTGAATTGGACAATGTGACCTTTTTGTTGTCCACAGGCCTGCCACACTCAATCCCGCCTCTGTGCCTGGTACCACCTTCAAAGACGGAGCATTTCCAAGAATCCCATTTCATACAACTCTCCAGCCCTTGCTCACATCCCATCTCTAGGCATCATGGCCCTTTAAGACATTTTTTGCTCTGCATTTGTTTCTAGCTGAGATTACCTTATTTTTGTGTGTGCTGTTGGCTTTTTGTAAAGACAGCAAGGTCTTGTCTTGTCTGTCCTATTATCTCTATTATTTAAAGTCCTGATTAATGGGAACTGCCAATTTGGTCTCTGTGGACGGGAATGTGGCCCTCAGTGTTCTAACTGTGGACATCTTTTCCTTTTTTTCAGGAACGTGGTTGAGAAAGGAAACACCCATCACCCCACAAATGAACCAGGGTCACCCCGCATCCGTGCCACTGGGACTTTCTGAGGTTTGCACAGGCTCCCAGGGCCCTGAGCCTCTACCAGCTCTGAGAACACACCCAGAAGTCGATAGAAGGCTTCCTGGTCTTCAGGGCGGTAACTGGGTCTTCTCTTCTTGTTCAGCCTGAGTTTTGTTCCTTCCATGGAATCAACAGTCCATATGTTCTGCTTCCTCTTCCTACTGGTCCTCAGTTTGCCAACATCTCCTGAGGAAGCTGAACTGGAGGCTGGAGCGCTTCTCTCACAGGTGGCTGCGGGAACAACAGATCAAGGTGAGCATGGATGTGACCCGACTGGGCAGTCCTAGGGCCTTCCCTTAGTGCACACCCTGAAGGATCATGAAGGACTTTGCCTCATGAAGACAAGGTGACAACTGGTTACTCAGTGGTGACTGACCTTTCGTGCAGGGTCAAGGAAGTGAAAGGCTGAATGAGGACACATACCTGCCTTGACATCCACCAAGTGCTTGGTCTTCCGGCTCCTCTTCCTCCCAGTTCCCTGCTCAGGGACAGCTGCTAAAGAGGCAGAACTTTGGGCCACAGGGCTCCTGTTCTGTGTAGCTGCAGGGAGAGAGGAGCCCGCCTGGTCATGGGAGGGACCCAGCTGGGAAATGCCGGGCTCCTCCCTCTCACTCACCTTGAGGACTTTGCAGGTGACATCTGAGGGGACAAGAGGAGCGTGGCCATGGTCCCCTTTGTATTTATCTACAGGGGAGGTAGGAATTGAGTTGCTTATTTACCTTCCTTTGCCAGGCAAGGAGTGCTCTCCTGTGTCTCTTTCTGCCGAGAGGACACTGCTCTGGCGACACATGGGGAATTCTGTGGTTTTCCATCTTCCATGGCTAAAAAGTGAACAAGGAAGTGACCTCCTGGCTTGCCCTGATTCCCTTTTCCTTGCAGAACCTGACTTGAGAGTCGAGAGGGACAGGAGAGATGGTGCTCGGCCATGGTGGTCCTGCCCCCTGGCCTGGGCAAAGGGCAGATGGCCACATATACTGGCCCCCTTCCATGCACACCCCTTGCTTCCTAACTCTTCTTTGCTGGG